CAAATATTGAATATTAATGAGAAAACATCTGATACAAATCATCGAATCGTCACCAGAAAACAATATCAACCGCGCATTTTCATACACCCCAACTGTTAGTTCGTGTTCGTACAAGAAATGAGAGAATTAGTGTACAACAACAAACATTATTGGGTGATATTATCGAAGGTGGACGACAGTTTGAACAGGCTGGTCCCCAATAAGAAAGGGGTCCTTAGGGTCTCGTCAAGCAGTCAGACCATTGCGCTAACTTCAGATGGCAATACTGGATGTCGGGGTACTTTACTGAGTTGTTTTTAATGAATTGTTAAAGTTTTTTAAAATTAAATCATAAATTGTTAGTTATGGCAATGTGTTTTTTCATATATAACTTAAACGGTTTTGATTGATTGATTGGTTGATCGGTTGGTTGATTGATTGATTGTCGATTGTTTCAGCTTTCTGCCATTACTCTGAAGTGCCAGGAACAAAAATCCCGACATGGTTTTTGAACTGGGCAGCTAAAGTAATTTATATCCCCACAATTTATTTGAATTTTTCAAATTTAATCAAAAAATTTTCTTAAAAAACGAAGTGATACTTAAAAATTTAATTGAAATTTTTATTAAAAATGAAGTAACTTCTAAAATTTATGAATTGAAATGACAGAAGGGCGTTCCGTCTTTCCTTGATAAGATATGCCTGGCCTGTGCAAACTACGCCAGGATCCGAAGCAAGGATTTAAGACGGATGCGGACGAACGTGAAAGAAACGCCGTGCATCAATGCTTCCAACAATTTGAAGGAAGAGGAGGAAGATAATAAATGAACAACTTATTCTCAATTTTCTTATCAATTCAATCGCTTTTGTCAAAATTTTTATTTGTTTCATTATGTGATGAATAATGACTTTAGCTTTTTGTATCAAAAGTAGTTAGTTTTAGAAAATATTAGCAATTCTAACACTAACATATATAGAATATGTAACAATAAGTTATCACATAACGTATGATATGATTGACTAAATAACTTCGACAAAATAAAAATTATTGTTTTATGGTCCTTTCCGCGAAAATTAAACTGAGATATAAAATCACTAATGCTTATGTGAAAACTGTTTCAATATAAATTAGTGAAAGAACTTTGAAAATATTACTGCAATTGTTTAAATATAAAAAAACAAAATGTCGATAAAATCGATAATTAGATTAAGCGAAGATGTCATAAACAGAATTGCGGCTGGAGAGGTCATCCAACGTCCAGCTAATGCTGTCAAAGAAATGCTTGAAAATTGGTAACTTTCAGTTTAACTTTCAATATTTTACTGTTTCAAAATTAAATATCTTTACCTCGCTAGTTCAAAATGGTTAGAGGTTAGTAGTCTAGTTGAGAATTTCATTAGAAATGGCAATCAAGAATCAATCCTAAAAAATAGTTATTGAAGTTAGATTAGCATTAGTTATTAGTAATTAGCAGTTAGTTTTAATTTAACTTTAATTAATAAGAATCAGATTAGAATTAGTTAGATTTATTTCTAATCATTTATTTAGTTTTAGTAATTGGTTATAGAGCAATATACAATATATACTTTATAATATATATATATACAATATATATTATATAACTTTTTTAAAATAATTTTTTTAGTTTAGATGCTGGTTCAACAAATGTTTCAATAATATTACAAGAAGGTGGACTAAAGTACCTCCAAATACAAGACAATGGTTCTGGAATACCGGTGTTTTAGTATATCTTACTCTTTTAGATTAGTTAGAACAATTTTAACTAGTTTTCAATAAAAAGCTGTTACTAATCCTCTAGTCTATTTCAAATATTCATAATGGAAACTTCCAAAAAATATAAATAAAACCTCTCCAGAAAGAAGATATGGATATAGTATGCGAACGATTCACCACGAGTAAATTAAAAAAATTTGAAGACCTTACAAACATTTCAACCTACGGCTTCAGAGGTGAGGCCCTAGCCAGTATAAGCCATGTGGCCCACATAACCATCGTTTCCAAGACCTCTGATTCTCTTTGTGCATTTAAGTTCGCTTTTTTCTGTTCATGTTTTTTGGCAAACTACGACAATAAAGCACAATTATAATTACATAAATAACAATAATGATACTTATAGTACTACTTTTGTTACTACTATTGAAACTAATACTCAGCTACTAATTATAAAATGTTGGCGATAGGGGTACATATTCAGATGGCAAATTAAAAGAGTCCTTAAAACCATGTGCTGGTAACGTCGGCACTCAAATTATTGTTAGTATGTGTGCGTATTTGTGTTTATGTATATATGTATGTATGCGCGTGTGCGTGTGTGTGTGTATATGCGTTGGTCTGTGTGTGTATGCGTGCATTTGTGTGTGTGTGTGTAAGTATGTATATATAAGTTTTTATAAAGCATATAAGCCTAATTTAACCATACACATATGGAATATGTGCAAATATTTTTTATTATTGTTTTTTTTCTTATTATTATTATAAGGTGGAGGACCTATTTTACAATGTCCCAACCAGACGATTGATCCTAAAGAATGCAACGGAAGAATATCAAAAAATTGTTGATGTCGTAACAAGGTGGGTGGGATATGGATGAATGAGTGGATGGATGGATTGATGTGTGCATGGGTGAATGAATGTATAGATAGATGAATGAATGTCTGGATAGATGAATAAATGTACGGATAGATGAATGAATGTATAAATAGATAAATGAATGAATGCATGGATAGATGAATGAATGCATGGATAGATGAATGAATGGAGGAAATGGTCAATGACTTGTTGATTGTAATGTACTATTATTCTTATAATTCCTTTATCATTATTGTACATAATTATATTATTTTTTACCTAAGATATGCCATACACAATCCAAATGTTGGTTTTCTTGTAAAAAAGGTGACCTTCCAATACCAATATATTTTTTTTGGTAATTATGACTCTAATTATAACAATGTTGATTTTATTATACATGGCGCTATTAATACCTACCTGAACATCCCACTTAGCAAAATGAGACTAACCCAGATTTGAAGACCCAGTCAGGCAGTAGTAGATTGGATAACATAGCCCTACTCTTTGGATCGTCCATTGCTAAGTTCGATTTTAGTCAATTTTTTGGGTTATGATTGACAGATGGGGGACTCCTTTTATCTGTATCTTTCTTGTTCACACACTCTGTTTAAAATTTTCTACGTTTCTTTTTTTCTGTCTTGTACTATCTCTCTCTCTCTCTCTCTCTCTCTCTTTCTCTTTTTTTAGTTACTTTTTTTTCTTTCTCTCTCTCTCTCTCTCTCCATTTCTCTCCACGTTTTGCTAATTATCATTCGCCCTAATTTATTTCAATCACAAGAGAGATCTTATCATTTGAACATGAAGATAAGAAATTGTCCTTCAAATTAGCTGGATGTGCAACAAATGCCAACTACTCTTCTAAGAAAAGGGCCTTTATCCTATTCATCAATCGTCAGTTACGTTTTTTGTTTTTAACTTTGCTTCATCAGTTGAACAATTATTAACTGACCAATCATCAACCAACCATCAACCAATAAATTATTAATTGACCAATCATCAACTGACCAATCACCAACCGACCAATCACTAACCGACCAATCACCAACCGACCAATCACCAACCGACCCATCATCAATTGACCAATCAGATCGCAGTGTTGAATCAACAGATCTACGCAAAGCAGTTGAGAGCGTTTACAATGCTTATCTACCTAAAGGAAGTTACCCATTTGTTTACATCAGGTGTGGTGGATGATGATAACGATGAATGAATGATTGATTGAATGAATGAATGAATGAATGAATGAATGAAGGACTGATTGATTGATTATTGCGACAGTTTAGAAATCAGCCCCCAGAACATTGACGTAAACGTGCACCCAACCAAGAGTGAGGTCCATTTCATGTACGAATCTGAAATTTTCGACTGCGTTCAGAGGCAGTTGGATTCGTGTTTGCTGGGCTCCAACACATCTAGAACATTCTACACGCAAGTGTGTGTGTGTGTGTGTGTGTGTGTTTGTTTGTGCCCACGTGTGTGTGTAATTCGAAATGGGCGTACGTGCGTGTCCGCATGTATGACACTGTTTGTTGCTTAATATTATTTATATTATACTGATATTATTATTGTTATTACAATGCAAGACAATGCTGCCATTGAAAATAATCGAAGAAAAGCCAAAAAATACGTCATCGTCATCATCGTCGACCATAGCAGACAATGCAAGAAAGAACCAAAGATCATCAATAGGTAACAGCTTAAACACCAGTGCTCATTTGACCATACGAACTGACCACAAAGCCAGAAAGATAGACTCGTTTCTCGTCGGGAAATTCAATAAAGGCCAAATTCTAAATGGCAACGCTGATGACGATGATGGTGGTGGTGATAATGATGGTAAAGATGGTGGTGGTGGTGGTGATGATGATGATGTCGGGGATCGCCGAATCGTTTCCGCTATGGAGATTGAGTTAGCTTTCATCTGCTAAATTCCGTCTTCCAGTTTATATTTTCTTTATAAACTTTGGGTACTATTGTTATTATTATTATTATTCGCAGTGTTACCGAATTATCTCCTTCAAATTCTATCAATAATAATAATAATAAAAGCAACAACAATAATAATAATAATGCGGCTAAGAAGAGAAACATAAAATTGACGAGCATACTCCAGCTAAGAAAAGAAATTGAAAGTAACATACATAGCGGTGGGTTTTTCCTAAGTTTATATATATATGTATATATAATATTTAATATGAATAAATAATAATAATTATAATAATAATAATAGGAATAAGAGAAATAATAAGAAACTCTACGTTTGTCGGCTGCGTTGATTTGGAATGGTGCCTAATACAACACCAGACCAAACTGTATCTCATGAATATTAATAAGATGAGGTTGTGATGATGACGATGATGATTTATTATTTTTATTGTCAATATCGTTTTTATTATTATTGCTATTATTTTTTATTGTTATTATTATTGTTACCAACATCGTCGTCACCACAGCAAAGAATTTTTCTATCAGATTTTAATTGAAGATTTTGGTAACTTTGGTGTCATCAAATTGTCAGTTAGTATTATTGTTGTTATTATTATTATTGCTATTGTTATTATTATTGTTGTTGTTTTGATTGATCTTATCGATTTGTTTCTATATTATGTTTTATTATTAAAATCTCAATTAATAAATTTGAAATTTAAAAAAGAAAAATATGATCATCATTATCAAAACTTCCCGCTGCTTAGCAACCGGCATCCATCTACGAGTTATCCATATTGGGATTGGACGACGAGAGGAATGGCTGGAGCAGGAAGGATGGCTCGAAGGATAACTTATCCAAATTTGTAGTTGAACTACTGTCATCCAAGTCTGCCATGCTTTGGGATTATTTATCCATCAAGATTGATGTTGAGGTGATTGGTTGGTTGGTGAATAGATAGAATGATTGGATTAATGACCTATTAAATATCTGTCGGATAGCTCGCTCCACAGATGAATTAATGCCGGAGTTGTTACTACTAAGTCACTCATAAACTTATGAAATACATTTTTTAGAACGGTGACCTACTATCTCTGCCTCTGATAATGGATAACCTGACCCCTGACCTCGATGACCTACATACGTTCGTGTTGCGATTGGCCACAGAGGTTAACTGGGACAAAGAGAAGCCATGCTTCAAGACACTCTGTCGCGAAATTAGCTCGTTTTATGTCTTCAAAAACGAAATTAAATCCTCGAATAATGATAATAATAATAAGGTTGATAGTAATGAAAATACGCGGTCTATAAATAGCAATTCTAAAAACCCGGAGGTTATTGAAAATGGGAGCAGTGACGATGCGCGCGTGGAAGAAAAAAAATGGACGATCGAGCACGTGATTTATCCCGCCCTTAAAAGTTTCTTCCTTCCGCCGAAATCGTCTGCTGACGATGGGAGTCTGTTGCAAGTGGCCAACCTACCCGACCTCTACAAAGTTTTTGAACGCTGCTGAGCCACATTCGTTTTATTTTAATGTGACTATTATATTTATGGAGGTTATTTTCTCTATTTTATTCATTATTGTTTAAACATTTTTAATTTATTTTTCGCTGAAGTTATGAAAATACAATTTTAAACGAGTAAGAGATTTCTGTTAAGCGTTCGTGGACTGCCTCGGGTCTGGACGCAAATTCGTTCTAACACGTCTCGATGATCAGTTTGAGATGGTTGTACATTTACAATGTGTTGTGTTCATTTTTTTCAAATAATAAAAGTGGGTAGAATTTATTTGATGGTTTTGTATGTTCTCTACTGACAATTAACTTTCGTATCCTCACAACGTCCATTCAATTCTTCATAATCTGCTTCTATATACACACGCCTCCACAGTAAAACATTCTGCCTCATCTTTGACGAACCCTCTGTTATCGACCTCGCTAGTAATATCACGTGAATTTTCGTTGTTGAAAAAATTGTCCTGTGGTGGCGTCATTGTTATATCTATACCGTTAATAATTATCGCTGACTTGGTTTGTTTTAGATTAGTTAGATATTCGTCGGATTGTGACTTTGACTCGATATCGTCGTCAGCTTGAACCTCAACTCGTTGAACGAGGTCGTTTAATTGGTACCTTCCCGATCTGTGCTCCTCCAGAGCCGGCCCCCACTTGTCGCTGGGCGTGGTTAACTCTTTCAACAACTACAATCAAATTTAACATAAAATTAATAATGTTATTGCTGATTATTTCCTAAAAATAGTGTTAAACTTCGCCACGTACTTTTGCTCCGCCATTTCTGCAGAAATAGATTAGACTCATGATAGGAATGAATGCAATGCATATTCCCGTTATAGACCACACGATTATTTCTGCTCGAGGGGGGTACATGTAGGTGTCGGAGAATAATGTTAAAGGTCTGTATTGCACACCCATGAATACGATTGTAAACTGTTTGGGATTAGTTATTTTTCTTTGTATTTTAATTCTATTAAAAATTTTCTTTAGCGATTTGTAGAGGTATCAACAACAGACAGACAGAATTGGTAAATACGCGCAAATTTACGCACCTCAACCATTCCATTATACAGTTTATAACTTCGTCACTAGGACGAATACTACACTTTTTAAAACAACAAGAAACATACGATGATGATCGCCGGAGATACAAAGGACCACGTAGTTTTGAAGTAGATGTTTGGTTTATGACCGATCATCATCTCAATATCGTCTGAAAATCTCTTTAATCCTGTAAAACAAATAGCTCATCTTAATTATCAAATGAAAATCTTTTTAAACTTTGAATCTAATTTTCCATTAAAGTTGTCAAATATTTGAATTTGTATAAAAATTTTATTACATAACTATGGTAAATTATACTTCAAATTTCTACAACCTAACATATTATTTGAATTTCAATAAATCGAGCACTATTGACTGGCGAGATGTTTAAATGGTAAAAAAGCCAGTCAGTGCCGGGTTCGATCGCAAGGATTAACGCGTACTACATGAACCTACACTGTGTGTGTGTGTGTGTGTATGTGTGTGTGTGTGTGTGTGTATGTGTTGTTGAATCCATCGAGAGTCCGTAAAAATCCATACTACTAGATAGCCGAGTTATTGAACATTTTAATAAATTATTCTAAATTGGTCAGTTTAAATATAAAAATTCTTTACTGACCATAAACGTAAATCAATAGAAAGATTTCGACGACGCCGACGACCAGCAATGGAAACCCGCTTAAAGCTGCATCGATTAGACTAAACAAGTAGAAACCTCCCTTGAGTGATTTAAATGAATAAATTATGTTAATTAATTAATTCATAATTCCCAATTAATTCATCACAATTAATTCCCATAATAATTCACCTACATTTGTAACCATACTGAGTCCAATGAGATAAAATAGGCACGTGAAGACAATTCTAGTCGTCAGAGCTCTTCGCGAAGTTTTGAAGAAAATTTCTCCAAACTCGTCCATTAACGCACAGAAGAAGCTTTCCGTCATTGAAAACTTTCCGGGTCAGGAAATAATAATAATAATAACAAAAATAATAACATTTATTATTTATTATAATTATTTAAATAATTTTTATAGTTAGGTGAATGAATGAACGTGAATCATGATATGAGAGAATTTCATTACATCCTAGCATGGCCACAGCATCAGAAGTAGTGTCATACCTTAATATCTAAAGTACCATGTAATATTTAAACTACTAAGTAATATATAAAGTACTATGTAATATCTAAAGTACCATGCTACCATGTAAAACCTGAAGTACTGTGTAATATCTAAAGTACCATGTAAAACTAAAAGTATACCAAGTAACCACGTAAAACCTGGAGTACTTTGCATGTAAGTAAGTGTTACATACCATGGAACTTAAGCCTAGTGTCAGCATCATGAGAAAGAAGAGGAGACTCCATAGCGTAGAGACTGGCATTGTACTCAATCCTTCCGGATATACTACAAATACTAACCCGGGACCTATAATTATAATTATATTATGTTGATAATTATTTTATAATTATATTATATTATGTTAAATTATTATTTTGTTCTCTGCCCAATTCGTTTAATTCTATAATTTCATAGTTGCATTTAAGTGCTTTTTGTTATTATTTTCAATTTTAATTTTTATATTTCTATTCAGCAAAAAGTCTTGGTGACCTTATCCTGTATGAGAATCGTGGCCAATGAACTCAATGACACACAAAGTTCAAAGTTCAAATATATATCATATATAATCATTCAATCAAATCACGGAATTTCTGGGTGGGAATTGAACTAAAGTATACTTGAACTTAAAGTTAACCTGGAAACATTTGGGTCATTATGCAATCTTTTGCAGTTAATTATTAGCCTGCCACTTAATCATCTTCTCCATAAGGTGTAATAAATGCATTTGTGCGTGACGTCATTTTCGCCCTTACTTTCGGGTTAAGATTATAAAGATGTTCAAAGTTCAAGGTCAAAATTAGCCAATCAAACAAGGTAACTTACCACTGGCAGCCACCTGACTGACCGGGACATTTTTATTGGCTGCCATGTACCCAAGGACGGAAAATATGGCAAACCCACCGTAGAAACTTGTACCACAATTTATCAACGGTATTAGTATTGAATCTCTGTAAAAAAAAATTTTAAATTAATTATAAAATTATGATGACGACACGATTTTTTTAAAACTAGTTTTTCATTTCGTTTGTCTTACATTTTTTGTTATTTCACATTTTATTTATTTAAGTACATAGGCACACGCACACGCACGCACACTTAGACACACACGTATGCAGTGCAGACAGACGAACACACATATAAAATATATATACTCTATGTTAAATATAAGACAAATAAATTTTAATTGAAACCGACTTAAATAAGATTGTGGCTTTAATTCGTATTTTTTGATTAGTCAATCATTGTTTATTTATTATTATTATTATTTATATATTATTATTATTGTCTTATTTACTGTCAGAACTTCAGTATAATCGTTACTTATAAGTACAACGCTATTTATTATAAATTTTGTTTATTATATTATTGCTATAATTACTTATTATTATTACTACAAATACAAAAAACAATAATAATAATAATAATAATAATAAACCTGTGACAGTTGTTTTTGAAAGCGTTATAGCTTGCCATAGCGATCAGACCGCCCGAACACAGCGCCAATGAGAAAAATATTTGTGTGGCAGCGTCACTCCAAACCTTTGTGTGTGTGCGTGTGTACGTTGTACGTGTGTGTGCTTGTATGTATATGTGTTTGTGTGTGTGTTTGTACGTATGTGTGTGTGTTTGTTGTTTGTTTGTGTGTGTGTGTGTGTGTTTGTATATGTAGATATGTGTGTTTTTGTTTGTTTGTTTGTGTGTGTGTGTGTGTGTATGTGTGAACGCAACAATGTGTGTGCGCGTGTGTGTGAGAGAGAAAGAGAGAAAAAATAAATTGCGTGTATAAGCGCGCGCATGTGTTTTTACTTGATTCGTTCGTACTTACCTTAGCTTCCTTTAATTTCGACCAATCAGGTTTCAGATAGAATATGAGCCCCTCCCTCGCCCCTTCCAAGGTCACGCCCCTTATTAACATGATGGTTAGGAGGATGTAGGGGAAGATTGAAGTGACGTAGACGACCTCGTTAGGTGAGGAAAAATTTGAAATTACTTTTTATATTTTAAAGAAAAGTTTGCGAAATCATTTTTTACACTTTAAAAAGTTACATAAAGTTGATAAAACTGAAAACGAAATCAAACGATATGACTTTGTGTTAATTTGCCCAACAAAATGTTACCGACAAATAAATAGTCTCTAATTTACTTTGTTACGATTTAATTAATTATTTAAAAAATGCAGATAAGTAACCAAATAAATAACAAAATTAAGAAAAAATTCCATAAAAACCTTTCCCAGCGACGATATTCCTTTAATAAGCACCAGGAAAACAATGAACCAGCACAGAAGCAAGCATATCGCTAGCTGCCAAACCAAACGACCAACATTGTCAAACTCTCCGGACATCTGTAAAACTTTCCTACTTTTTGGCGTAGAAGAAGTATTTTTGAGGTGTTTTTTCAGATTTGGGTATAGTTTTTGTATCAGTAGGTATAGTTTATGTAATGGCAGGCATATTTAAGTTTATTTTCGGTTTTGATATTGTAATAATCTGAAATATCCATTTAATAAATCAAATGAGAAAAGTCGAAAAAGCTATTTATACAAAAATTAAAATGGAAAATAAAATACTTATTTTAATGAAAATTAAACAAGATGACATGATTAATGAATTTTAATTCTCACTAGAAGTATTCCTCGCTTGGAGTCCTCAACTGATTGACTGTCACGTTCAAACCATTTACAATCACGCTACCGTTAGCTGGAAATAAAAATTTCAGTGTAATGGTTAAAATGCCTGGCACTGCTGTCGCAGTTACTGGGTTCGAATGCAGAGAGATCCCAGCCTATCACATGCAATGTGCGTTTATTCACATGTTCTGCACATGTCAGAGCCACGCAACAAAGAACAAAAATAGTCAAAAGTTACTGATATTCCTGTAGATGTCAGGTGTGGCGCAAAATTTCGTGTTCCAGATATTTCCACAGCTGGTCCAGGGCAGGACTGAATTGAGGGAGGCGAATACGTAGTAGAGGATCCACGATATGATGACGTTGTAGTAACTTGTTATTATGACGTTTGTTATCACCATCGAGTAACCAAGTCCTTTGTGTGTGAGTGTGTGCGCGTTCGTGTTTGTGAGTGTGTGTACGTGTGTGTGTGAGCATTGCTCCAAATTTATTATACAAAAATAAGAATTTATTCAGTAGAAACAAATCATCAAAAAGATAAAACATAATTATATGATCGAAAGTTATTTATAAATAAAGGTTAACAATTTTCAATTAATCTTAAAAAACAAATAGTAGTAAAAACGTAAAAACCCTTGAAGAGCGGATTTATTTTCCAAATGGCAATTGGACCTAGACTTGCAAACTGGCCGAACGAAAGTTCGAGAAAAAATAAGGGTATGCCAACCAAGGCAAGGGTTCCAAAGTAAGGGATCAAAAAAGCACCTGTGGTATATATGTTTAGATATGTGTGCGTACGTGCATGTGTGCGTGCATGTGTATAAGTATATAAGTGTGTGTGCATGCGCGTGTGTGTGCGTGTGTGGTAAATTTAAAGTCCCCACTATATATTTTAAAAACAAAATAAAAATTTGTTTCATACCCCCGCCATTTTTATAACATAGATAAGGAAACCGCCAAATATTTCCGAGGCCGACGGCATAACCCACGCACGTCAGAATAAATTCCACTTTGCCTCTCCAAACAACTCTTTTATTATTGTCCGCCATTAACTCGCCCATCCCTATTTTTCAAAATTTAAATTTGTAAACAAGTAAACATTGGATGTCAATGATAATTATAACTTATGGTTCAGCAATTTATTTTAAAATTCAGTTAAAATTGGTGTGGAGTGAAATATTTGAAGTGTATATATAGTCGATGTAATATGTATGTTATAAATATTATGTATAGTATTTACGTCGTTATACAATGTATTTATTCATGTACAAAAGCATGACTCTGGTTGTCTGTCCGTCTGTGTGTTTGTCTTTGTTGTGTGTGTCAGTGTGAGTGAGTTAAAACGAGTTAAAATTTTATTTGGGGCCCCCAAACGCGATGGCTTGCCGGTGGTGATCTGGGGGCTGAACTCCCCAGTTCTACAAAATGCCACCAAAGGCTTGTAGCGTGCGCGCTACCACCATCGAAGTCCTACTCCTTCCTGCACGTGGCGGGGGCTGCTACTAACTAACAGGAGAGGGCGAAGGCGAGTTACTGGCGCCTAAACCAGGTTCCGGGCGGATGGCGCTCGTAAGGAAATACCATCTAGGAGAAGGAAAACTGATTTCAAACTTCCGCAGCCTTGCGGCTATACCCACGCTTGGGAAAGGCCTGAGTAAACCCAGTTAAAAATCTAGCCAGGATAGTTGGCTACGAGGATAAAACTGCACCGCAGTTTCATCCAAACTTCTGCGTCCACACTGGTCGCTCGGCGTGTCTCAACTCGTTGTGCCTGCTGATACCGATCCCTGTGGAGGAGGGAGTGTAGCATGCCGCACAAACATGCTCCACTTAAATCAACCGGTGTGAAGGTGGTCTTGGTGGTCTGATGCTTGAATGGATGTGCAAACAAAGTCCTGCGGCGAGTGGCGACGGGCACAGGTAGAGAGTACTACTGGCAGTGTCTAGTCACAACTCAACACACAGGTGGCCTTGGTGTGATGGTCGTTTGTTGCTGATGGCTACAGCAATTTTCGTATCCTGCCAGGGTGACAAAGCAGCCCTATTCAGGGATGCACTGCTTTCTCCAACCGGAGAGGGGACTAAAAAATCTGTCCTAAAAAAAGCTAGCCAATATGTTGCCGACCTTGTCAGCCTACCGCGGCTGACTGGGTATCCTATTATGCGGTCAAAAGAAAAGAAAAATTTTAAATTTGGCTTCATGGAACGTCCGGACAATGTTGGATCTTGGGAAGTGTCATGAGCGTCGATCTGCCATTGTTGCGCGTGAACTTGCGCGTTATGACATCGATGTTGCTGCGCTCAGCGAGACAAAAATCTCTGCAGTAACACAGTTTGAGGAGAGAGGTGCTGGTTACACCTTCTTTTGCCAAGGTCATCCTGCAGGTGAGGTGCGTACTGGTGGAGTGGGCTTTGCCATTCGTAGCACACTCCTGAAATCTGTACATGAGGTACCTTATGGTATTTCACCACGCCTAATGAGGATGCAGCTCAACCTGGAGGGTGGTCACACTGCTATGCGCCAACGCTTGGAGCAACTTTTGAGGAGAAGAGCTTGTTTTATGAGCAGCTCGGTGACGCTGTTTGTTCAACACCACACAACCATCAGTTGTTTGTCTTGGGTGATTTTAACGCCTGTGTGGGTAAAGACCACATCTTGTGGCCAAAAGTGCTTGGACGAAATGGAGTTGGTAGGGAAAATTCAAATGGAACCATGCTCCTCGAATTTTGTACAGAGCACAATCTTGTGGTGACAAATACAGTCTTCCAAAAGGCTGACAGGAAGAAGACTAGCTGGAAACATCCACGTTCAGGACACTGGCATCTCATCGACTACATACTTATCAGACAACGCGATCTTAGTCTCGCTCGTCTAACTAAAGCGGTGCGAGCATCAACAATGTGGTCAGATCATCGCCTCATCAAGATGTCGGTGTTTCTTACTGTTAAACCAGTCAGAAGGCATCACAAAACTGTAAGGAAAGCCAAACTGGATGTGACTCGGCTAACAGAACCGTCAGCTAGAAATTTGTTCCGCGAAGCATTGTGTGGTGAGTTTTCAACAAATGAGAGCACAGAATGATCAAATTTCAAGCAGATTGGAGAGATAGCTGCGGTTAATGTGCTTGGATATCAGCGTATTAAGCATAGGGACTGGTTCGACGATCAGGATACGGAGGCACGTGGGCTGCTGGACAACATGCACAGCACCCCTCTTTCTTGGATGAATGACAGGGGCGACTGCGTCAAGAAAGCATGCTACACGCAAGCACGCAGTTTTGCACAGAGGAGGCTTCGTCAGATGAAGGAATCTTGGTGGTCTGCCAGAGCTGATGAATTGCAAGTAGCGGCCGGCCGCGGGGGCATGAAATCATTTTACAGAAATCTGAAAACTGTGTTTGGTCCCCGCAGCTCCGGTAGTGTCCCGGTACTGTCTAAAGATGGTCAAACACTCATCAAGGATGGCCATGGAATCCTGGCTCGTTGGGCTGAACACTTCAACAGTGTGCTAAATCAAGAATCCCGGTTTGATGACTCAGTCCTTGCTGATCCCCCTAGCCTGTCTAAAGTGGAAAAAGCAATCACCCAAATGTCGAATGAAAAATCTCCGGGTTTGGACGGGCTGCCGGCAGAACTCTTCAAATGTGGTGTCATCGAACTTAAAACCAGGATGGTGACAATGTTCCAAGACATGTGGGATAGGAAATCGGTTCCTCAAGATTTTAAGGATGCCCTTATCATTCACATATTCAAACGGAAAGGGAATCGTTCATGCTGTGATGATCACAGAGGCATTTCTCTGCTATCGATTCCTGGATAGATATTGGCCCGCGTGATCGTCAACCGCCTAACCAAGTACGTCAATGATGTTGGTATTCTTCCAGAGGGTCAGTGTGGCTTTCGGACTGGTCGTGGTACTATGGATATGATTTTTACTGCCAGACAACTTCAAGAAAAATGTCGTGAGCAACAACGCAAACTTTTCTTCGTCTTCATAGATTTAACAAAGGCGTTCGATTCCGTCAACCGTTCAGCGTTATGGAAATATCTCAAAAAGATCGGTTGTCCTCCGATTTTAGTGTCGATTATTCGCTCCTTCCATGAAGGCATGAGGGCAACCGTAGTTGAAAATGGTGATCGATCCCCGGACTTTGAGGTGACGAATGGTACCAAGCAGGGGTGTGTCATGGCTCCCTTGCTGTTTAACATCTCCCTAATGCTTCGAGTCGCCTTTCAACATTGTGTAGAGGGCATTCCAATCTGCTATCGCATGGATGGAGACGTTTTCAACATCAGACGCCTATAGACGAAGTCAAAAACACAAACCACAATAGTCCGCGACCTGCTCTTTGCAGATGACTGCGCTTTGGTTGCACATACACAAAGTGAAGTTCAGGCTCTGTTCAACTGTTTCCACACTACTGCAGAAAGGTTTGGACTCACGGTGAGCAGGAAGAAAACAGAGGTTCTGCACCAAAGCTATCCTATTTCGTCGGATTCTAAAGCCATCGTAACTATTGGTGGCTCGCAGTTGAACGCTGTGGATCGATTTTGCTACCTTGGTAGCTACCTCTCCAACACTACTGCAATCGATGATGAAATTACGGTTAGGATTGCCAAGGCTGGTGCTGCTTTTGGTGGTTTGAGTGGACGACTTTGGAAGGAACGGGGTGTGTCGCTGGCTACTAAAATATCTGTCTATAAGGCAGTTGTGTTAATCACAATGTTGTATGGATGTGAGACATGGATTACTTATAGGCGCTATATACGTAGACTCGATCAGTTTCATGAGATGTCTACGGGTTATCGCTAACGTTAAATGGGAGGATAGGGTGCCAAATACGACTGTATTGGAAATGTGTGGTATCTTGGGTATCGAGGCGTTTTTGTTACAGGCACAGTTTCGTTGGGCGGGACATGTTATCCGCATGCCGGAAACAAGAATTCCCAAACAGGTGTTTTTCGGACAGCTGGCTTCTGGAGTTTGCCTTGCAAGCGGTCCAGTTCGCAGATTTAAAGATAATCTGAAGGAAAACCTAAAAAAAGTCGGACTGGATTCTAAAACCTTGGGTGTCGTTGCGCTCGAGCGTTCATGGTGGAAGACACGCTCACAAGCAGCAGTTTCCGCCTTTGAGGAGGCGCGCATTGCAGCTCTAGTTGGAAAAAGAGGACGGCGTAAGCAGGTGGCCCGGGATGGTAACAGCACAGGGGTGTGGGTCTGCGGAACCTGTGGTCGTCAATGTACATCAAGAATAGGCTTGTTCTCGCATCAAAGGACTCATCAATGACACAATTCGTCGAACGCGACGATGTATTCCATGTGTGTGTAACTAACTAATATATATATATATATATATATATATATATATATATATATATATATATATATATATATATATATATATATATATATATATATCAAACTTTTATCAAACTATAATCAAACTTTTTAGAGAATAATTTTTAAATATTAAAATGTTAAAATATTAAAATATATATCTATATCTAACTAATCACTAATGAATCAAACTTTTAAGAGAATAATTTTTAAATATTAAAATGTTAAAATATTAAAATATATATATACATCTATATCTAATCAAACTTTTAAAAGAATAATTTTTAAATATTAAAATGTTAAAATATATATATACATCTATATCTAATCAAACTTTTAATAGAATAATTTTTAAATATTTAAATAAAATGGATTTTTTTATTTATAATTTTATACGAGGTCACTTGAGGATAAGTGTACTCAGCGCTCTTTGATCTATCACAAATATTTATTGTTACTTTAATATATTATTATTATATATTATTATTATTATATTATTATTATTATATATTATTATTATTATATATTATTATTGTTATTTCCACACAGCTAGTATTTTTGGTATAAATAATAAATAAGCAGTATATGTATAGATATATAAGTAAAAGTGTAGATTAAATATAATTGAACAAAGTATTTATATTCATATATTATATTATATTCTCCTTTAAGTGTCAAACAAAACGCACACACACACACAACACACACACATACATACACACAATTACACAAAAATTTGAAAAAATGTTAAAAATATTTATTGTTTTTCAAAAATTCAATAAATATTTACTCAGTACTTAAATATTTTAAGTATACGTTAAACGCACGTACGAAAAAATTGAAATTACGTTAAAAATTTTTTATTGAAAATTCTATAAAAATTCACACTTTCGAGTATGTATGGAACTTCTGTATAAACATAAACATGTCTGAAACAAAGGGGGCAGTTTTAGGGACAGACCTTCACCCCTCCCCTCTTGAAGATGTTACTTACATGGTACAAATTTTTCAAATACAGTTAAATGGTTTTAGCTCTTACACATACAATTGCATATTAACAACGTTAAATGTCTCTTTTTAAATTTTGAATAATTTTCTGGTTAACTCTGTGTGTGCATATATTTGTGTGCTGTGTGTGTATTTGTGTGTGTATGTGTGTGTATTCTTTATTCAGTTTGAGTGAGAAGGCAAATTAAACCAAACTCATTTCAACCGAAAATAATGACATAACACACACTTTCTTTCTTTCTCCTGCCTTATCCTTTCAGGACCATCGACCTCTACGAAACTAGATATTTAACACTGTAGTAGTTGAAATGTGATGATATTCAACAAAAGACACAAGAACTTCACGAATGTTATTCGTCGTTCGATCTCTTTTTCTTGCAATCTTTCCAGAGTTGTTGAATTTTCCATTCTTTCCTTTCCCATGGTGTGACCAAAAAACTTTATTGACCCCGTCGGATTATTCGACTCTTTTCATAACCGGATTGTTTTAATACATCCTCATTCGAAGTGTGAGAGGTCTAACTAATTTTCATAATTCGTCTCAAAAACCAGATATCAGCAGCGTTAATCTTTTTTTCTATTTCTATAGAAATTGCCCAGGACTCAAAACCGTAAGTTAGCTCAGGAATAATGTAACACCCTAACAGTTTTAATTTTCATTGATTTTACTGTTGGTGAGGATGTTTTTCATTTTAGAGTATGCATCTTTCGCCATAGCTATCCTTCGTTTGATATCCATACCACATTTACAACCTGAGGTAACCAGACTTCCGAGATAATTAAAGTTGTTGACTGGTTTCACTTGTTTACCATAAATGATTATGGAGCAGATCGGGGCGGTTTTGCTTTTACTGATAACCATGCACTCTGTTTTGTTTGTGTTAATTTGCAAGCCTTTTCTCTCACTTTCAAAAACCAGTTTAGAAACAATAGTTTGCAGTTCACTTTGAAACACACACATAAATAAATACCAGATAGATTAGGTATATTATCAAATATTCAAATTTAAATTTCTTTCAAATGAATACAGCCATGTGGAATGAACGTCTCCAAGAGCTCGTTGATCAAAAGGCACTGGAAAAATAGTTTTTTTAAAAGGTCTGCCCAAATTTGTTTTTTTTATGTTATAGCATAAAATAACATAACACAAACATACAGACACATACATACATGCTCACAAAAATGTATATATATATACACACACGTACACGCATGCTCGCATGAATATGCAAACATCCACACACTTACATATACAAACATGTGCATGCTTAAACGTACATGTTCAAACACACAATTCCAGACATATATTCACACATACACACACACGTACATACAGATATTCACACATACATACAAATATACACACAGACACACACAAACTAGGTTGCATTTCCTTTGCCATACGCAACGCGTTGCTTAGCATGCACGATATCCATGCCTCTCTTTTCTCATTATCATCTCTTCTCTACTCTATTCCTTTATTATTCTCCCCCTCTCTCAATTTAATACTCCGTTATTATATATCTCTTTTCATCGTTCTCTCTCTCTCTCTCTCTCTCTCTTTTCTCTTCTAATTTTCTTTCCGATGTTCTGCAATTAATTTCTTCTATACGTTTTCTTTTACCTCTCTCCTTCAATCTCTCTCTTTCTCTGGTTTTATACTGCTTAGTCTGATTCTTTATTGTCTTCACTCTGTCTTTTTTCATTTGTTCTTTTCCTTTCTCTTCCTCTCTATCTCCCTTTCTTTCTTTCTATTTTTCTCTTATAATCTTTTTCCATTTTCTATTTTAGTAATATTCTCTTTTTTCCTCTCTCCTATCTTTCTATCTCTCTTTGTTCTATTTTTTTCTCTTCCTCTTTCTCTCTCCCTTTCTCTCCCCCTCTAACTCCCGTTTCCCCCTCCCTCTCTCTCTCTCTGTCTCTTTCCTACTTTAAAAATTATTATCATGCATTAGCGTATCTTGACTTGACTGCCATCAGGGCTCTGCGTTCATCTTGCTCTAACTCTGCTTTTTTTCACATTAAAAATCGTTCTTTTATGACAAATGAATAAGTAAAAACCAATATATAAATATAAATAAATATTTATATATTTATTTAAAGAAATATATATATATATATATATATAATAAGAATTTTGTTATTTCTAGAAAATTTTAGTTTCCAAGTTTATAAAACAGATTCAAGAGTGATAACGATAGAAATGATTTTCAATAGCTATAATAATAATAACAAGAACAACAAAATTATTAAAACTGAATAAAGCCAAAACAACCAACCAACCAGTTGAATTCTTTTTAGCCATAAATAACCAGCCGGATAACTTCGGAAATAACAGAGGAAAAATTAACTTTTCAAATATTAATTAACATAATTAATTAATAATTTAAGTTAGAATCATAATAATAATAATAAAGAATAATAATAATGAACGGCGGGGGAGCTTACGGAGCCGGGAAAGCAACCGGAATGTTTGACGTCATAGGTTTCCTGAAAAAACCCCAGGTCATACTGAGGTTACTCTCTCTGGTAAGTTTGAAAAGTATTTTTATTGGTTGATTGATTGGCTGATTGGTTGGTTGATTGATTGTTCGGCTGATTGGTTGATCGATTGTTTGGTCGATTGGTTGATTGATTAGTTGATTGATTAGTTGATTGATTAGTTGATTGGTTGGTTGATTGATTGGTTGGTTGATTGATTAGTTGATCAAATGGTCCGTTTGTTGGTTAAATGATTGACTGGCTGGTGTTGTTTGAATGACAAAAGTAGAAGTCTTGATAGAGTTAATGGTTGATAGATAGCTGGTTGAGTGCGTGAGTGAGTAAAAGAGTGAGTGATTTTTGTGAAACTTCACTTACGGGTACGACCTTCATTTCAGTAAAACGCATTCAAACGGAATGCATAATCGAATGAATGAAAACGATCAATTAATCTATTCAATTAACAATCGGTTGGCTTATTAATTAGTTAGTTAATTGGTTGTTTGGTTGGTTGTTTGGTTGGTTAGTTGGTTGATTGATTGGTTGGTTGTACAGTCGATTAGGTGGTCGCTTAATTGAATATACGTTTAATTCGCAAACATACACATGCGTATACATACACACACTCATACACATACGTACACACACACTCACATATGTGGTGCACGATTGTTTACAATCACCATCCGCCTAAACATGGATCAATATTCCAACAGCGGTTCTGTATAACGCGATGTCTTATTTGTGTATACATACATACACACATACATACATACATGCATACATACATACATACATACACACATACATACATCCATACACACACATACATACATACATACGTATACAACTGGCCTATATATCATTCGAATGAGCGTCCAGTAACCCCTATACTAGAATAAAACCTAAAAAGTTACACACACATACACTTCTCTCTCTTTCTTTACACACATCACACAACACGCACACGCACACACACACGTAAATGATAAGAGTAGGTAGTAAGAGTGCTATGTTTTGGATCGTGGCTACCTGCTTAGGAGTTTCGAATTCTGCCTGAGCTAGCCTTTTAGAACTATCATATGTATTACGTGTGTGAACCATTTATATTATGAAACCAAGGAAAAATATCATTCCCAATTAAAGCTGAAAATTGAAACTGAACTCAATTAAATGAATATTATTTGTTATAAAAACCATTATAACTACCTTTGTGAATAACAATAATTTAACATTAACCAAATCACACAAACAAACTCACACACTTACACACAACCCACATACATACACACAACACACACACAAACACACGTACACCACAGTTCTTCTCGATTATAGTTTTCGGGTGCATATCGAGCCAGGCATGGGAAAACGACGTCTGTCGCTACAACGGAGACAGCAACGCCTGCGGGTTTGGCACGACGGTGGGGGTCCTAGCATTCCTGGGTCTTCTGGCACTTCTCGGCATTGATTTCTACTTTGAGAATCTGAGCAGTGTTCAGCATAGGAAGTATGCTGTTATGTTCGATATGGGATTCTCAGGTTTGCTGTTGTTGTTGTTGTGTTGCTGTTGTTGGTGGGGGTGTTGTTGTTGGTTGCTGTTTTTGGTTGTTGCTGTTTTGTCATTTGGTTCTTAGATGGTTAGTTCGCATAGGTCTTGCAATGTATTTCCCGTCTTCCTTCTCTCTCTCTCTCTCTCTCCTCTCTCTCTTTTTCTCGGTCATTTTCTCTCAATTATTTTGTTTCTAAAAATCGATATCAATTAAGAACGTGCGCTTGTACAATCGACCTTCAGTAGTAGTTGTGGCTGCTTTTGCTGCTGCTATAAATAATTTCCACTATACCTACTATTACTACGACCAAATATATCACGTTTCATTATATAGATGTTATAATGTATACACACATACAAAGCACACACACGCACACACATACAAACCCACCCACCCACATACAAACACATGCACACACAAACACACACATACACACACACACACACACGCGCGCGCGTAACAGTGCTAATGTTACTTCGTACTATATAACACATTAAAAATGTATAATGAAATCAATGCGACTTCTTTAACAGGTTTATGGACATTTCTATACTTCGTGAATTTTTGCTACCTGGCTGACACCTGGCGACGTACTGAGGTGGACAAAAGTGATTGGGGAGAGAGTGGCGTAGAAGCGGCAGTTGTCTTTTCCGTGTTTTCTGTCGCTACTTTCGTTAGTTTGCTGCTGCTGCTGCTTGTTTGCTAACGTCTGAGATGGTAGCGTTGCGGCTGCTGCTGTTATTATTCCTGAAGAAATTGAAATAATTAGCGACGAACGGGAATAATTTTATGTTTATGAGATGGAAAATGTGAAAAAACGAATGAATTATAAGCATTTATGTACAAAAATATATTTATTCAATTGATACTTACACAAGCGATTCAAAACCTGTCTGGTTACTTTAATTATTCTTCAACCAAGTGTGAACAAACAATCAAACACATTACATCCATAAAAATCACTTCTTTAAATGAACTACGAACTATTAATAAATCGAATTAAAAAAATTACAAATAAACAAAATTCCTCCCCCAAACCAAACAGGCAGGGAATACGGTCCTGGCCGTCATGAAGTATCGCAAAGGAGTTAGTGAGCCCTTCTCTGCCGGGTACGACCCAGAGGTCTTGGGTTCGACTAAACAACCCCAACAACAGCAACCCCCTCAACAACAATCAGCCATGCCCCAGAACCCATTTCCCCCATCATATCCCCAGCAAGGTCAGGTCGACCCGTTTAGGCCCAACCCTTTTTCAAATCCGGATCAGCGGCCAATGGGAGGCGGGGATTTTCAACCTGTGACCTATTGACCTAGTTACCTAACCAATCCGGTCAAGTTGCTACCAGTAGCTAATTAATATTAATTAGATAATTGCAGAAATATATTATATTTGTGTAATTGACGAGATATTTTGTTGTAAAAAATTTATAAAATTAATTAGAAAAAAATCAATAGAAAACATAGAAATAAAACAAAATCGTGACAATTCATTGCATTATCGTTAACATAGAAATGGTAGATGTAGGTAGAGTCAAAAGATATAAAAACTAGTTTTTTATATTTATGGTACATACAGCCGTTGGCAAATTTTTAAAAAACAATTTATGTAGCGTTTTACATTATTAATAAAATGTTGTTAGTGTCAGTCAGTGGAAGTGACATTATCATTGTTGTTGTCGTTACGGCTATGTAGATTTCAATATAGTTAATTTGTATAATTTATTCGTGTATCTTTTGTACGTGCGTGTTTAAATTAACACACACACACACACACACACACACACACACACACACACACACACACACACACACACACACATATATATATATATATATATATATATATATATTATTTATATATATTATACATATATATCCGTGTAAATCAATGTAAACGATTTGATGTAAATTCAAATTTCTCTAATGCGAAGAAAGCGGTTTTTTTTATAAACATTTAGACTGATGTACGGTTTATTATAGCAATTATTAATTACCTATTATTATTATCATCGCAAAACGTTTGACGTAAGTGGTGTGTTTAGCGTAAAACAGAGAGAGAGAGAGAGTGGGTGTGTGGTGGTGGTGTGTGTTTTTTTTATATGTATACATATTTCTAGCCATTAAACGGGTACATATGTTTGAATTTTGCAGTAAATTTGCTTCTAAATTGTTTTTTATTTGATAGGATTGTCAATAGGAAGAAAGTCGCATGATGGTGATGAATGTCCAAATCGATGAATTATTTATTTCTTTAAATTTGTTTTATGATTTTTATTTTTTATTGCTCAAAAATTTCATTTAATTTATTATCATGTTTTTTTAATTACCTATTATTATTATCATCGCAAAACGTTTGACGTAAGTGGTGTGTTTAGCGTAAAACAGACTTCAGTGTATATTTCACATATATTGTTAGCCGCATGTATTGTTATCATCTGCAGTTGTTACACACTCACACACACATGCACGCACGCACACACATACAACACACAAACAAACACACACTCACATATACAAATACACACATAGACATACAGATACACATATACATACCCCTAGACACACACATACACAAATATATTTATATATGTATCCGTTGTTTTTTTACCATTTGTTAAATAAACTATATAAGTTAAGAATACACGTTTAGAATAAAACAATGATATTTTAGCACAAAAAAGATACTGAATCAATGGTTTTTGTTACTACACACACACGCACACGCACACACGCACACACACACACGCACTCACATACACATATATATTTTTTCTCTTTTATTTTCCTTTTTTTTCGTTCTCTCTCTCTCTCTTTTTCTCTCCCTCTCTTACTTTTTCTATATATGCATATTTATTTATTTATTTATATTTATATATAAGTAAATGTATCTAGTTAAGACGATGTCATGATGTTAATGTTTTAAGTTTTGCGTTTGAAAAACAAACTTAGCAAATTTTTTTTTTTTGAAAAAATAATATTGCTTAGTCTTTATTCTTTGGCTCAGAACCGGTAAAACTAATATAAATAATATAAACAATAATAACCATAAATATAATAATAGCAGAAATAATATGAAGAATAACGATAATAATAATGATAGAAATATATATTAATAATAATAAAAATATTGGAAGGAGACCACATTTTATACAGTATTGTATGTATATAAACTAAACAAACTTTAAATTGATTAATGCCAAGACAAAATTTAAATTGATTAATGCCAACAATTCGGTAGAATTCATATAATGCTGTATATAAATATGTGTAATAAAAATATGTAATGATAATAATAATAGATTTCAAATGCAACATAACAGCGGGTAAAATATGTTGACGGTAAAAATAATCTAACTAGGTGGGAATGGCACGCCATAGAAACCGACCTTGACATTTAAAACATTTTTTTATTCAAATTCACAGCTGTGTCGACCACTGTGATGATGATTGTGACCTAAATAAAAAAAAAATTAATGATTGAAATGAAAAATTTACTCAGCAAAGTCATAAAAATTATTAAAATGGGATGAGTTATTCGTTGCGAGCAAAATCGCCGGCGGAAATGACGTCAACGATCAACAGTCCTGTTAACTGCACAGTGATCCAACATTCTATCGCAATTACTTCCAAATAAATTCATTTAAATACTGAATGAACAGCTATATAAATAACTAAAAAGTAAATGTGTATATATATATATATATATATATATATATACAAATATATATACATACACATACACATACACAAAAGAACACACATACATACAGGCGCATGCACATGAAAATGTGCGTGAACTTATTAATGTTTGTGTTGTTATCTATCAGTTTATGATTGATTAGCATGCTATAGTTTTTCTTTTAATAAGTTTTTAAATTAAAATTTATTTCACTATTTTTTCAAAAAACTTAAAAACGTTCAGTTCTGCAAAGATGTTAAATTTTAAAAAAAGAACATTTTAAATGATGCCCGCTGGGTAGCACATAACTTACGCTGTCAGAATTAAACGCTTGGTTAGCTTATCTTTTTTAAAACAAGACATTTTCCTATTTTGAATTTATGAATTATTTTGCAAAATGCCAAAAATAAATAAAAACCAACCAAAGGTTCATAATTCTAATAAAAATAATTAAATTAAACAATAAAAAATTTATTTGAAAATATTTTTTCAATTTATTGGATCAAACCAACTGTTAATAATGCTTAATGATGGCTTTTAAATTGATAAAAACTGTTCAAAAATAAAATGCAATCGACTGTGTGACAGTCTGTCATTAATTAAAAATTCATCCATCCATACATACATAAATATATACATACATACATACATACATACATACATACATACATACATACATACATACATACATACATACATACATACATACATACATACATACATACATACATACATACATACATACATACATACATACATACATACATACATACATACATACATACATACATACATACATACATACATACATACATACATACATACATACATACATACATACATACATACATACATACATACATACATACATACATACATACATACATACATACATACACACACACACACACACAGACACATACACTTACAGTATATGTATGTGTATTTGTATGTAAGTGTTCATGAGGCACCAGCTGTTTAGTGTAATGTAATTGTCGAAAATGTTATAAATACCATCAATTTAAGCTTCTTTGTGCTATTTTCAACAATCGAAATTGTGTGGAAATCTATATTACCATCAATCCCCATCGAAATGACTAGCAAGTTAGCGACTTTTTCCATGTTGGCGGCTGTGGCTTGCCTGCTGGCTGCTGTGGTAGTCGCTAAAGAAAAGAATGCTCCAGGAAAGAGAGAGGTTTTTTTTATATTTACGATATTTGCAAGTGGCAGTTCAAGTTTTTGTATATTGATTTTTTAAATTCTGTTATCATTTTTTTTAACAGGATCATGATTCTGTCGGGAAAAGAGAGGTATGTACAATCAACGATACTAACACACACTCACACTTACACACACACACGCACACATACACTTACTCACACACGCACGCATACATGAGAACTATTCCACAAGTTCAACTTTTTATATATTCATTTCTTAGAACTGTTATAATTTTTTTAACAGGATCATGATTCTATCGGGAAAAGAGAGGTATGTACAATCAACGACACTCACACACACGCACACATACACTTACTTACACACGCACGCAAACATGTGAACTATTCCACAAGTTCAACTTTTTATATATTCATTTTTTAGAAATGTTATCATTTTTTTTAACAGGATCATGATTCTATCGGGAAAAGAGAGGTATGTACAATCAACGACACAAACACACACACATACACACACACTAACACAGGCACGCACACATGTGAACTATTCCACAAGTTCAACTTTTTGTATATTCATTTTTTAGAACTGTTATCATTTTTTTTAACAGGATCATGATTCTATAGGGAAAAGAGAGGTATGTACAATCAACGACACTCACACACACTAACACTTACTCACACACACGCACACATACACTTACTCACACACGCACGCACACATGTGAGCTATTCCACAAGTTCAACTTTTTATATATTCATTTTTTAGAAATGTTATCATTTTTTTTAACAGGATCATGATTCTATCGGGAAAAGAGAGGTATGTACAATCAACGACACTCACACACGCGCACACATACACTTACTTACACACGCACGCGCACATGTGAACTATTCCACAAGTTCAACTTTTTATATATTCATTTTTTAGAAATGTTATCATTTTTTTTTAATAGGATCATGATTCTATCGGGAAAAGAGAGGTATGTACAATCAACGACTCATCCACACACTCATACACACACACTAACACAGACACGCACACATGTGAACTATTCCACAAGTCAAACTTTTTATATATTCATTTTTTAGAATTGTTATCATTTTTTTTAACAGGATCATGATTCTATCGGGAAAAGAGAGGTATGTACAATCAACGACACTCACACACACGCACACATACACTTACTTACACACGCACGCACACATGTGAGCTATTCCACAAGTTCAACTTTTTGTATATTCATTTTTTAGAACTGTTATCATTTTTTTTAACAGGATCATGATTCTATAGGGAAAAGAGAGGTATGTACAATCAACGACACTCACACACACTCACACTTACTCACACACACGCACACATACACTTATTCACACACGCACGCACACATGTGAGCTATTCCACAAGTTCAACTTTTTATATATTCATTTTTTAGAAATGTTATTATTTTTTTT